TGATTTAAATTTAGAGGTATTTCACCTGAAAAGATGGTTGGAGAAAACATATTGAGCATATGATTTGAAAATGTAACTAACATGCTGTTTAAAAATAAGTTTACTCTGTTTTCCAACATTTCAGACACCTGGACATATCATTTAATAATTAATAGCGAGGATAATGGTCTTTTATTTTTTAGCCCTGGAGAATACTCGACTGATAAAGTACTTTTCAATATTGCCAACAAATGCATGGTATAAAGGTTTTGAAAAACTTGTATAACATGAAAACCAATAAAAACAAATTGTATTACAGTAATTTTTTCCTTATCAGTTTTATTGAGAAATAATTTATATACAATAAACTACATCCATTTAAAGAGAACAATTTATTGGCTTTCGTATATCCTCATGAAACTACCATTAAGACACACCATTTGTCTCCTTTCTAAAAGATTCCTTGTGTCTCTTTGCAGTGCATCCCTCCCTTTGCCCAAACCCAAGGCAACCATTAATCTGCTTTTTGTCACTATAGTTTTGTTTGCATTTTATTTAAATGGAATTATGCACTATGTACTATTTTGTGTCTGGCTTCTTTCTCTCACCATAATTGAAATTTAACCATGTTGTGTGTATTAGTTTCTTCCTTTTTACCTCTGAGTAGTATTCCAGTGTATGGATGTTTATCCATTCGCTTGTCAATGGTCATTTGTCTTATTTTCAGTTTTTGGCTGTTGTGAGTAAAACTGCAATGAATATTTATGTGCAAGTCTTTATGTGGACATATGTTTTTGTTTTTCTTCAGTAAGTACTTTGGACGTGGAATAGCTTGGTACATGTTTAACATTTAAAGAGACTGACAAATGATTTTCCTAGGTGTTTGTGCCTTTTTACATTCCCAGCAGCAGTGTATGAGAATTCCAGTTGCTCCATATCCTTCCACATCTGGTGTTTGGAGCGATGTGTATTGTGGTTGGTATCTCCCTGATGACTACTGTTAAGCATCTTTCCATGTGCTTGTTGACCATTCATATGTCTGATTTGGTGGAATATTCAAATCATTTGCCCATTTAAAGAAATTGGGTTAATTTTTTTCTTACTGAATTATAAGCGTTCTTTATATATTTTGGATACAAAGTCCTTTGTAACATTATTGCAACGTTGTAGCCTTCTTAAAACTATTTTTTAACTAATAACGTTAGCTCGTGCACTTAAAAATCAGTATGAGCACTGTACTAAAGAGAAGATGAAGAACTGCTAAACCTAGACATCTGTCAAGCTAGTTGTATACTTTTTGTGCGACCAGCATCCTGTGACCAAGGAGCCCTCATCATAAAACGTTATTTACTCTTAAAAGCCAACAGAAATACTACAGCTTGAAAAACAACAAAAGACTCGCGATGTATCTTTGCTGTTGATGCTGCCGGCCAGCTGCCTACCGTTTCCTAGGACTCCCCTAAAATTCCAAGTTAAAACACCAACACAGGACCGCTGCGATCAGGGCTCTTGAGCCATTGTGGAATATTGGGCATGTATCTTCCAAAGTATTCAAAAGTCATTTAATTATCAACATGACATCCTTTAGGGGATAATAAACTGGCCGAATGCTCGGCTTTTCTGTTTGACTCAGCCTGTGTCCTGAGGTGGAATAGCTCCGCCCAGGACCGCGGATCCGACTGGTTTTCCGCCCCGAAAGCCTGGCGCCGGCTGCGCATGCGCATCACGGTCCCCCGTCTCCGCCCGCGGGGAGGCGGTAGCGGTGCCGTGGTAACCGCAGTAAACCGAGGCCTTTGGGCCCAAGCTGTGTGAATAGAAGGGAGCGGCGGCGGTCTGTGCCTTGGGTAAGTTTGGACCCCAGCAGCCGGGAGTTCCCGCAACCTCCCCCTTCAGTCCGCTAGCTGTGAACTCTTAGACTGACCCAGTGTTCTCCAGGCTTTGCTGAGACACGTTCCTTCGGCCTCCAAACATTTGAAGGGACGAGCATTCGCAGGCACGGAGGTAGGCGCTGTGTGCGCGCAGTTCCTGCCTGCAGGGCGCTCACGCTCTGGCCTCGGCAGAAGGCAGCCAGGCGGCAGGGGTGCGAGTTGTACCCAACTAAGCCAGAAGCAGCAGCGAATTTGGTGCGAAAGTGCCCAGGCTCTGGGCTCAAGCAAGACACCCTGTCCCACACTTAGCTGTGTGACACTTGGCAAGTTCACCCCGCTGCGCTTCGGTTTCCTCATCTCTAAAAAGGAAGATGTAAATGCTTACCTCATGGAATTCTTGTTATAATTAAATAGGATAATGCAGGTAAAGTGCTTACTTAGCACATGCTTGGCACAATGTAGGTGCACAATGAATATTTGTTGAATGAATAAGCAAAGACATAATAGCATACAAATGTGCTACTCAGTGTGTCCAGTCAATCGTGAGTTGTCCAGGGTCTCTACTGACAAAAACTTTTGAGAGGTGAAGGGACTGAGGAGGAACTAGGGAGAGAGAGCGACAAGAGCTGAGCTGCAGTGAGTTACAGACCATGTGAGG